TCTAGACCTCCATTTCTCTCTTTGCCATCCCTCCTCCCTCCCTGCCTCTCTTTGCCCCATTTACCCCTCGTTCTTGCCTCTCTTTTCCCCTCTTACCTCCTCGCCCCCTCCCACATAAATTCGGCTGGCAGACGTCGCGGCGCCGGGCGTGGCCGTTAAGTTTGGTCGTATAATAGGCGGCCAAACAGCGGGCGGCCGTCTGGCCACCCATGATTTTCAGGAAGCCCAGTCTGGAAGAGACGTCTTTGAATTTAGGAGATATTTTTCATTTAAGCCCGACGCGATTACTTGATATGGATAGAGTAAGAATTTTATTATTTATGGCGTTTGAGTGTTGATGTATACTTTAATATCATATTTATGTTTTTACCATAATAAATGTCGTATTGCTTTGTTCAAGTGTCGTGTATTGAACTCATTCATATAGCCCCGCAAACGCGTTTACTAACATAATAAACTTGTTTTCTAATACTTTTGATCTTTTGATCTAAATAAATTTTGCCACTATTCATTATAAGATCGTTTACAATTATTTCATACATAAAGCTAAGCCTGTTGGGGTAAAAACCACGCGCGCGTTCACGTTATAGTTCCAATTATACGTAGGATATATCATCCGTTGATTTTTATTTGTATTTTTTTATACTTGCTTATAACAACAATAAATACGCTTAAGATGTCCTAAAAAACTGGCCAATTCACCCAAGCGAGGAGGTCTGATTTACTCAACGATGAAGTTTCTATTCAACTTATTCAACTTTTTCATCACAGCGGTTTTGAGCACAGGTTTTATTCAACGTTGACATTTCCTTCATGCTTGAGTACCCATTGAACTTCAACTTCAACGCCTCCCGCTCCTGGCAACAGGCTCCTTTTGTTCAACTCTGACATTTAACTCATAGTGTCAAGCTTGCACTCAGAGAAATGATGGGAGCAAATACGGTCTGGGTGTACACTTGACTACCTTGTATGATGCTCTAAAGTAAACTAACTATTTAACTTAACCATGTTACCCTGAGAAAATATTAAAGCTTATTAAGGATTAAAATTATTATTATTGTAAATAAATTTCATACTTGCCCACTTCTTCATAACACACTTGTTTTTCCTGATACACTTTTTCAGTACCCTCTTTCTTGTGACCCACTTTTTCATGGCCCCTCTTCCTCATGACACACTTCTTCCTGACCCATTTTCTCGTGACCTTTAACCCCTCCCTCTTCTTGGCATTTGGCCGCAACCTCTTCTTGAGGCGTGGCACACTCTGGCACACTGTCTGGCACACAGTCTGGCACACAGTCTGGCACACAGTCTGGCACACGGTCTGGTACACAGTCTGGTGTACAGTCTGGCACACAGTCTGGCACACAGTCTGGCACACAGTCTGACACACAGTCTGGCACACAGTCTGGCACACAGTCTGGCACACAGTCTGGCACACAGTCTGGCACACAGTCTGGCACACAGTCTGGCACACTGTCTGTCACATAGTCTGGCACACAGTCTGGCACACAGTCTGGCACACAGTCAGGCACACAGTCTGGCACACAGTCTGAACTCAGTCTGGCGCACAGTCTGGCATACAGTCTGTCACACAGTCTGGCACACAGTCAGGCACACAGTCTGGCACACAGTCTGGCATACAGTCTGGGACACAGTCTGGCACACAATCTTTAATTAATTAATAATTATCGCATCATATTCTTGCATTTTTATGAAATACTTTCACTACGAATTGTAGAAAAAAGGTAATTAAACATTATTAAATAATGCACAAAATAATACAATAATAACCGCGATTATACAGTGATTGTACATGGTCACTTCTGGGTCACAATTCGGTCAAATTGTGATGCAATATTCATGCCTTTGGCATATACACGATGCATGCAATTTCTATTGCATTGTACTGATCATTTCACCGTCATCTTGGAGGCTTAATTCCTCATCTATCATTATATATTCAGTTGTATTTCTTTTCAAGTCAATATGCAGGGTAAGACAAAATAAGGGAACCACTCGAGAAATCCACAAAATATATTTTACTTTGGTGTTGTTCTACCTTTTGCGGCAATTATACAGCCTCAATTCATACAAACGTATGATTCATACAAGTTGATGCATACAAATTGTGATACAAACTATTGATTCATACAAATTGTGAATTGTTTTAACCATTCTTCAGTTAAAACGAAGGAATTTCAATCCATTCTTCAGCTAAAACTTTAAAGCTCTTTCAAAGACGATGATGGCGGGAATCGACTCTTGACTTGCATCTCTAAAATCGACCATAAATTCTCGATAATATTCAGGTCTGGTGATTGTGGTGGCCAAATGAGATGCTCTAACTTCATTAGAATGTTCCTCGTGCCATTTTTTAACAATTCCAGCTGTATGGATCGAGGCATTATCAACTTGAACGATGGCGTTCCTCTCCGGAAACATTGTTTGAACAATTGGATGAAGTTGGTCCTCCAAAGTTCCTAAATAGTCACGGCTTTTGATTCTTCCATGCCGCGGTCTTTGGATTGCCCCACAAAATTCGATTTAGGTACCGACGTTCTCTCTCAGACAACTTTACGATCGGCCAGACCTGTGCTTTGCTGAGGACTTTTTCCTTCTCTTTCAAAAGCAGTCATTACTTTTGAGACAGTACCTCTAGAACCGTCAAGCATTCGGGAAGTTTCTGTCACACTAGCACCTGCCATACGGGCACTAACAATTTGACATATTTGAAAGTCATAGATTTCTGCCATTTCTTGGTTCTAGGTTAGGTTATAGACATAAAAATTTACTAAAAATATCGATGTAAGGATAAAATATCAATTAGAAGCAGCAATAAACAATAAAACATTGAAATAAGTCTAGCTTCTAATGTTCACAACATGTTGAAAATTTAGGATATCTAAATAGGTGTTTTCCTTACTTTGTCCAATCCTTGTATATAATAAGGTTTATGTTCGAAATTTTACCAATTTGTTCGAGGGAGAATGAGATGCTGTCTAATTTTACTTCGGTGTTCAAACAATCAATATAATTAGTTGTGGATTGATTGGATTAAATTACTCAATGACACATTCAATAATTATGCATTACTCAATGAATAATTAAAAAATTAACAATCCCATGCTTTGATTCCGCCTATTTAATCGGTAAAAATGTATGTATAACCGGTATTAAATCAAAGTGTCTCTTGCATGTATTTGTTATTGAATTAATTTATAAAAGTGTGGCCTGAATTGCTTAAGTGTTTTCTGCTGAGCATCGAATTCTTTTGCAAAGTCGTTTTCTTTTGCTTGATCGAGCGGAATCGCACTACACCCACAGAAATGAGTGAGATTTTGTATAAATAGCGATGCATTTTTCCTCTTTTGTCTGTCATCCTGTACGAGCTTGGCCCAGAAAAATGGCACATCAGTGTTACGAGCAGAAAGTGTGTCACTCCTTGGATAGTGTGACCCATTCATTTTTCTGAGTGTACGTTTTTTCCCCTCAGATCAAAATGCTGACAAATTCTACGGTGATTGAAACGCATATTTGACGCCCCCAATTACATACTCAGAGAAATGAGAGAGAATTTGTCCAAAAAACGATGTTGTGTGGGTTATACTGACCCATTTTGACCCGTCAGCAGGGCTTTTTAGGGCTACGTTTTATCTCAGCTTGTGTTGTCTGCTTAGCAAGTGTGTCACAATTTGAACAATGTGACTAATTCATTCTTTCAAGATATTGTCAAATAATTGTTGAAATCATAATGTTTATTCAGTGTTCTTCATGATACATATAAATACAAATATTTGTTGAGACAAACTTATGAAGTTTGCATGAACGGGAGCGCAGGTAGCGTGAGGGGAGTAAGGGGAGTGGGGAGGGTGAGGGGAGTAAGGGGAGGGTAAACAGCTGTTGATGACAGAACAGGTGCAGTGACAACGTCCCCTCACACACCCCTTCTCTTCCCCTCAGCTACACCCCTCATAACTGAATCATCCCTCATACCTGACTTGAACAAATTCACGAATATTTCCATATTTTCTCAAAAAAGACGTATAAATTTTTATATCCTTTCGTGACAACCATGCAATACGTTTGATGAGTCATTCAAACTATGCTTCTTATTATTATACATAAAACTTCCTTCCTTAAAACTAAGTGTTTTTCACGACCTTGTCTCGCAACTAATATTTACAAACTAGTCATAAAAATGATTGCAATCATGTTATTTTTTGCACATACTCCATACATGTATCTTGTCCCTTGTTCATATAATCTATTTCTTCTATTCTGTACACGGGCAATATTATTACTTGCAGCTTTCGATGCCTATCAAAATTTTATGCATTTAAATGAATGAAATTCTTCTGTTTATAGTATAATATCTAAAAATTTATATAGTTTTTCAGTGATATAGTCTTCAGTTATAGTATAGAACATAGTATATTATTTAAAGTAGTAGTACATAATTCCTAAAATGTTTGCCGATCTCAATTTAAGTGCTTTTTCGATAAAATTTTTCTTATTTTTTCTCGTAAAGTTATTATTGTAATATAAACCTTATTTCAAAGTCAGATTTTAGCCTTTAAATGGGCAAATGTTTCGATAAATTTTATCATGTGATTATATTTGGGTAAAAAATTCACATTTAAGAAAAAAATATGAAGATTAGAAGACATTGTTACGAGAAAAATGGATGAGGAAAAATTGATCTGTCATCATGTCCAAATAGTGGCACACTTTCTACACGTAGCACTGATACGAATTTTTATCGGACCAAAGTGGGAATGAATGACACGTACAGAGAGCGTAAAAAGTGCATCGCAATTTGGACAAAGTTTCGCTAATTTCTTTGAGTGCACAATGCAGTGCAGATGCAGGGTATAGCGCCGTGCACTGTGCCAGTGCTCGCTGGTGCGCGGTGCTGCGGTGCAGCGTCTGGTGCAGTGAGTGCAGTGCAGTGCAAAGTAATACGCTGATTAAATAATTTATACGTTAATTATCGAGGTTGCTACGGTCTGCACCAGGCAGGTTGATCATATTAAATAATTTCTAACGTTGATAATAATTAACAACAATCCATAAATGCGTTTTTTTAAACTATCAGCAAACTTTAATCTATGGATTTAATTTTTTAACATCCATCGTAACCTATTTATCCATGAATCAAATTTTTTCAATCTATCTTATAGGTAACTTAGTGATCCATGAATGTGATTTTCTAAAACCTTCAGTTACCTATCAATTCATAAATGATATTTTTTTTTTATTTGTAGCCTACTAAGAAAATTCGTAGAAAAATACATATATAAGAAAATATATAGCGCGTTAGCCTTGTTTTACGTTTCTCTTGATTACTTTTTAACAAATCTATTCTATGCTGGCTAAATAGATCTATTATTCTATGCTGGCTTAATAGAGTTATTATTCTACCCTTAAGCAATTATTTTTATAATTATTTCCTAAGTTAATTAAGTTAAGTTAATTATAATTTCCGCATGGCATTGCCACTAGTGGTAATCTCTTGTAACTATCCTTGTGCAAAATAATAAATACAAATTAGTATACATTTATCAAATAAGGTTATATTAGTAGGTTATAAAATTGCAGAATTGACATTTTGTTTTTTTCTCGCTTCAGTAGCGCATGGTTTTTACATCAGCAACCGTGTCGACTTCGGGTTAATCAAACCTTTTTTAAAATGAATTTTACTCTCTGCGGTGAGTAGAATTCATTCTTGAATTCTACTCTCTGCGGTGAGTAGAATTCATTCTTGAATTCTACTCTCTGCGGTGAGTAGAATTCATTCTAGAATTCTACTCTCTGCGGTGAGTAGAATTCATTCTAGAATTCTACTCTCTNACATGTTAGTTGTTACTTGTTAAGTTGTTACCAGTTACCACTTACAGGTTTTTTAGCTTTCAGTTTGCTTACAGTTATTTTTACACAGTTATTTTTATGTTTCACCTTCCCTACATGGATGTCTACTTTAATCTACCAATCTCAAAAATAATCCACATATATATACAAAAAAACAATGATTTTTATATGCATATGTGGATAATTTCTTAGATTGGTAGATTAAAGTTCACATCCATGTAGGGAAGGTATAAAACATAAAAATAACTGTAACTTTTATTTACTGTATCTAACCCTGGGGTAACCCATACTAGTTCGGTTAGGTTAATTGCAATAAAGTTGCATTGTTATGTTTTAAAAAATGTTTTATTATCATTAAATGTTAATGAATAAATCTCAATAGCAGAACAATAAATATTTAGAGATTTCCAATAACTTTGGCCATTGTAGCGGCTAATGTAGCGCGCTACATTTTACTGTAGCGGTAGCGGTAGCGCCGCTACAATTCCAAGTAGCGCTGCCCAGCTCTGATTCTAGATTCTACTCGATGGAAAACCTCTTGTTAAAGTTACAACAATTCTTTTACAATAGGTAGCAATCTAGGGGAATATTATACGAGTAAGTAGCGATCTATAAAAATATTATTACAGTAGGTAACAATCTAGGGAAATATTATAGGTATAAATTTATAAAAATATCACTACAGAATGTAACTATCAAGGGAAATATTATAGGTATTAATCTATAAAATTAGCATTAGTGATATTAGTAATCGATGGAATATTGTTACATTAGGCAGCAATCTATTAAATTATTACTATTGAAGGTATAGAGATTAGAAGGAATGTCATCGTATGCTTACAGTTACAAATGATTTTTTAATTTGTGATACCTTACTTTACTACTTTTGTGCTGCTACTTTACTATTTTCGAGAGGTAACTTTGCTACTTTCGTGCAGTTACTCGATTGTTTTCATGATGTTACTTTACCAGTTTCATGCTGTTCCTTTCATACTATCGTGTTGTTGCGTTACTGCTTTCGTGCTGTTACTTTTCTACTTATATGCTGTTACTTTACTTCTTTCGTGCTGTTTTTTCTACCCTTCGTGCTGTTACTTTTCTACTTTTAAACTGATACTTTACTACTTTCGCGCTGTTACTTTTCCACTTTTTTACTTATACTCTACTACTTTCGTGATGTTACTTTTTACTTTTATGCTGTTACTTTACTTCTTTCATGCTGTTTTTTCTACCCTTCGTGCTGTTACTTTTCTACTTTTAAACTGATACTTTACTACTTTCGCGCTGTTACTTTTCCACTTTTATACTTATACTCTACTACTTTCGTGATGTTACTTTTCTACTATTATACTGATACTCTACTACTTTCGTGCTGTTACTTTTCTACTTATATGCTGTTACTTTACTTCTTTCGTGATGTTTTTTCTACCCTTCGTGCTGTTACTTTTCTACTTTTATACTGATACTCTACTACTTTCGTGATGTTACTCCACTAATTTCATGATATTACTTTACTATTTCCACGATTTTCCTTGATTATTTTCACGTATTACAATTATAATGTTTTATTGTATTGCAATATTATAATGATTGTTTTATGTGGCAGAGGATGCGCTAGCCGAGCTTCGCGCCCCGCTCAGCGCCGGCATCTGCTCTTGTGAGTCATATATACTCATATTTACTCATATTTACTCATATTTACTCATATTTACTCATATTTACCCATTTTTACGCATAGGGCTTATTAAAATATAAGAACATTATACTGATAAATAAGAAATTTTATTATGTATTTATTTTATGTTCTATTGTATAATAAAACTTGATTTTAGTGGAAAATTTGAATGTTTCGAGATGTGAAATGAGTCCCACGAGAGGTAAATCGTAGATAAATTCGTAAAATCTGCTAATAAATCGCAAATAAATTTGCAAAATCTGTGAATAAATCGCAAACAAATCACAAAATCTGTGAATAAATCGCAAACAAATTCACAAAGTCTGTGAATAAGTCGCAAATAAATAAATTCGCAAAAGCAACGAATTGGCACATCGGAAGCTCGCATTGGCGCGGCACTCTCGCCAGTGCCAGACGCGTCACTTTATACCACACATTTCTCTCATTATAAATTCTTATTGTGATTATTCGGTGAATTTCTTCCTCTAAGTATTTTTTCCCTCTCTCCTTCTCTTTTTCTTTCTCTCTTTCTCATTTCTTTATTGCCGCATCTTTCTACTAAACGAGAATAATTTTCGCTTGAAGAATTTAAATTTCGTTTAATTGGACCTTAAAGCAATGATACTATTTTATTTTGTATTCTTTAGAGATAAATTTTTTTAATCTTTGTCTTGGCGCAAGTCTCTCTGCAAGCAATGAACGCTCGTTGCTGCCGCGGAGTTCAATTTAATCGCAGTGTTTGTGCACTGAAAAAAGTTTCAGTGTTTCAAGTATTTCCTGATTACAGAATTGTTTCAGTGGATTCCTTATACTGATTTGAAAATATTTCAGTGTGTTACTTATTACCTGATTAGAACTACTGAATTTTTCAGCGGGATAACGTATAAACGGACGTATAAACGTTATTTCTTCAGGTTCAGAACTTATCATTCAACATTTTCCGGGCGAACAATCGAGGTTCCCACAAGACAAAAATTTTTAAACATTTTTTTACACACAAAAGCCGTGATATAATACTGATTTTGTAGTCCTGTATTTCATTTTATATTTCATTCATGTATACTAACTTGGTGCACGTTATACGACGCTCTCTATCGTTCTACTTGAAATATAGATTCTTGATAATTGGGTTTATATATATTGAATAGATTGTTATCTATGTATGTTATCTATCGCTATACTAACCGTATGTACATCACAATGATATTGCATAGATACATATTGGTGGTATAAGACATTAATTTAATGTTATATAGCGCACTACCGGTGGTATATATGATACCAGCATCGCGTTGGCACCCACAAGGCAGCGGTAAGCTGCGAAACTTGGCATGGCTGGAGGCGTTAAAACCATCGTGTAAATTAGGCATTAGGCCGATAATCTTTCATAAATCTAGTTAATAAGAAATTAATCATTAGCAGCAACCCTCAAACTCTAAATAAATTTTGTTAACAAGTAATTATTGCTATAACCGTCCGCAGGAAATTTTGGTTTTCCGTCAGTGATGTTATTTTGGAAGGGAGAACAAACTCGAACGTAGGCAGCATTATGACTGTTTTTTTAGCGCAAATTCTCATTTATGGGGAAAAAAGGCGCTATTGTGCTCGTCATGTCCGCCCGTCTGTTTGTCCGTGACCACGTTTTCGTCGACGAGAAAATGCGTTCTCTGTCACTCACTGCAGTGAGTACTGAGTTATAGTTTTTTTGTATATGCTGAATTAACATGCATTCAGCTGCAGATGTATGTCCTCCCTGATATACATCTGCAGCTTAATTCAGCCCGCTGCAGCCATTCGTCTGCTCTACCACGCAGCTGCTGAATGCAGCTGTTGTAAGTCTTTCGAATGCAGCGCTATATAGAGCTGCAGCAACGGCTGCAGCCTTAGATATAGAGACAACATATAACAGATATAGAGACAACATATAGCAGATATAGAGACAACATATAACAGATATAGAGACAAGATATGGCAGATATAGTGACAACATATAGAAGATATAACAGATATAGAGACAACATATAGCAGATATAGAGACAACATATTGCAGATATAGAGACAACATATATAACAGATATAGAGACAACATATACAGTATAGCAGATATAGAAAACATATATAGCAGATATAGAGACAACATATAGCAGATATAGAGACAACATATTTGGCAGATATAGTGACAACATATGGAATAAGTTAAATAACGTGTGTTATTTCTAACCGTTATCTGTGTGTGTTAGAACTATATATGAACGCTCATTTATTTTATTATATGTATACTTTATTTTTTCACATGAGAATAAATTGAAGTTTATGAGGCAGATTTTGGCGCAACATTGAGGCAGTCCTAGTATGTATGGCGGGGGGGCGAAGCTCCCCCCCCCCACTCATCCCCCATGTTGGGGAATGCTTCACACGATGTATACACTCAAAAAATGAATGGGCCTGAAGGATGAGGGATGGGGGTTGAAGGAGGGGGATGAGGGATGGGATGAAGGAGGGGGATGAGGGACGGGGGTGGAGGAGGGGTATGACGGATGAGGGATGGGTAGAAGGAGGGGATGAAGAATGAGAGATTGGGGTAAAGGAGGGGGATGATGGACGGGGGTAAAGGAGGGGGATGAGGGATGGGGGTGGAGGAGGGGAGGTATGGGGTTGATGGCACTCAAGCTTGCCAAAGTTGCCAGAAATTTTGGTTGCATTTAGCGGCGCTGCGATGCTTGCCGCCGCTCTTGATTTGTGTGCTTGTGTCTACACTCAGAGAATTGAAGCAGACTTTGTCTGAATAGCGATGCACTATAGCACCTTGCATGGGTCGTCCTTACCCAGTTTGGCCCGGTGCAGAAAGTGTATCACAATTTGAACAATACCATCAAAATATTTTCCGAGTTTACCATCTTCAATTCAGTAAATACATGAAATTAACTTGCTTATTAATTGTTCTCTTCTCTTCGTTGATGCATTAGTATATCGCTGTTAATAGTATATGCATTAGTATATCGCTGTTAATAGTATATGCATTGGTATATCGCTGTTAATAGTATATGCATTAGTATATCGCTGTTAATATTATATGCATTAGTATATCTGAAACTTTCATTTATAATTCTATCCTCTCAATGATGAGCGACTACACTTTTTGTCTTAATAAATCAGTTTTAAAAGTAATGATCGTGTCGCCAAACAATTTTGAAGTCAGCGACAAAAAATGTTATGTTCTTTCGTTTAAATACATAAAAAATATGTTATACATATTATATGTGTATGCAGAAATATTTACAAACAAAATAAAAAATCGACAAATTTTAAGGTGTAACTTTAGATTAAATAACATTTATTGCTTACTTAATGTGTACCGTAAAACTTATGAGGGCAGGGTATAGAGTGTAATTGTGAAGGGTAAAAACACCAATTGTGAAGGGTATAAATTGTAATTGTGAAGGGTATAAAGTGTAATTGTGAAGGTATGAAGTGTAATTTGGAAGGGTATAGAGTAATTTTGAAATGTATAAAGTGTGAAGGGTATAAAGTAGTTGTGCAGGCTGCAGGGTATAAAGTAGTTGTGCAGGGTATAAAGTAGTTGTGAAGGGTATAAAGTAGTTGTGCAGTGTATAAAGTAGTTGTGAAGGGTATAAAGTAGTTGTGAAGGGTATAAAGTAGTTGTGAAGGGTATAAAATAGTTGTGCAGGGTATAAAGTAGTTGTGCAGGGTATAAAGTAGTAGTGAAGGGTATAAAGTAGCAGTGAAGGGTATAAAGTAGTTGTGAAGGGTATAAAGTAGTTGTGCAGGGTATAAAGTAGTAGTGAAGGGTATAAAGTCTGTCTCTTATACACATCTAGATGTGTATAAGAGACAGAATATAGAGACAACATATAGAAGATATAGAGACAACATATAGCAGATATAGAGACAACATATA